GGGGCACACAGGATACCCCCTTTGAAGGTCATTCTCCAGAAGGGCATCTGGCCCTCCCCAAGCTGGCATCGTGGGAAGAGCGCTGGATTAAGACTCATAAGATCATTGAAGCTACTGGCTTCACCACATATTAGGCAAGTGAGCCTACTCAATGCACAGAAGGTCTCCAAGCCTCAGTCTCCTCGTCCGGAAAGTGGGGACAACAATAGCGTCTTCACTGCTTCACCAGTTTGTTGTATCAAAAGAAATGGTTCGTGTGAAAGCACTTCACTTATGTTTACAATTTATATTTACACCTCATTTGTATTTACAGCTGGTATCCTGGCTCCCATTTTACAAGTATGCAAATGGAGACAGTGCAAACGTGGAAATGGTTCTGAAGTTTTTATTTTAGTTTTTATTTAGCTCTGCTTTTTTTTTTTTTCTTTTCCCCCGACCACAGTTTAATCTGTTTGGACACCCTTGTTCCAGATTTAGAAAACCAGTGAGATCTTTCTTTTCTTTTGGCCTATCAGCTTGGCATATATTGAACGCTGTATGTAGTTTGGGGTTTGTTTTTCTCCCCTCTCCCACACTTCCACCTGCCCCTGGTAACCACTAATAAAGTCTGTATATGTTTGTCTATCCTAGATAGTTCATATAAGTGGGATCATACAATATTTGTCCCTTTGAAACTGACTTATTTCACTCAGATAATGTTTTCAAGGTTCATCCGCATTGTAGCGTGTAGCAGGACTTCATTTGTCTATTTTTTAATAAGATTTTATTGTATTTTCAATGAAGGTTCACGCAGCAGTTGAGGTTCCCATTTAACAATTTCTACACCAGTTGTTCAGTGACATTGGTTACATTCTTCACAATGCATGAACGTTCTTATTTCCATTCTGGTTGTTCCATTTCCATTAATCTAGTTTCCATCCCCTCTTACCTTCTCGTCTTTGTTTTAAAGTATTGATGACCATTTGGTCTCCTATGGATAATTTTTTAAAGGTGCACAGTACTCACGGGTAATATTCTTTATTTTGTGAGCCAACCTTTTATTTAGCTAAAAGGAGACCACAGGGCTAGTTTCAGTTCAAGGTTTAAAGAGTATCTCAGGGCAATATTTTCAGTCCGGTAAGGACTTCATTTCTCTAAATGGCTGAGTATATTCCATTGTATGTATGTACTACGTTTTGTTTATCCATTCATCTGTGTTTTGGGTTTTTTAAAAAAAGTATTGCAAGTGTTGGCAAAGATGCAGGAATATGTGCATTCTAATATACTAAAGATGGGTAACAGGAGAA